AGGGAGAATGGAGAAATTGCCTGGGGCCATAGGGAGGTCCACAATGAAAGGCCAGTTGATGGGACTATAGCCTCAGGGGAACGCCAGAGATTTGGCCACGAGGGAAAGTCCAGGGTTTTTCCTTTCATGTTGAGTTATTTTGTTTTAATGTACTGATTATAAACATACTCAAGCAAGTTTAAAGGGAAGGCTTCTATGATGAAAGGGTGTTGGTAGTAGTATAATGATGCATAGAAATGAGCAGAAGGAACAGAAAACAGACTAGCAAGGTAATTTCATTACTGCTTGTAATTTAACAGACACTAAAAAAAACCAGTGTAATAGGTATTCGTAGTTTCATGTACAATACTTTTCTGGTTTTTTTAAATTGAAATGTTCGGGTTTGTTAATGTTTAAGTTTATAATTTTTAAAAAAAATTCCTTAGGTGATCTCACTGAGAAACAATGGACTTACTCTATGGCACGACTCTATATTCCTTATCTCACCTGATCCTCAAGATCACAGAATTTTAGAGTCAGAAAGGACTTTGGTAGCCATCTGGTGTAGGACATACATGAAAGAACACACCTGACCATGGGTGACCCAGTCTCTGCTTACAGAGCTCCAGTGAAGGGGCTTCTCTTTAGGTAGCCAATTCCATTCTGGGGTAGCCCCAAGTGTTGGGAGTAACGATAATCTTGGGAGGTTAGACAGGACAAGTATTATAATTCCCATTGTACAGATGAAGAAGCTGAATCACAGAAGAATAAAGTGAGTTGTTCCCAATTACATCCCTCTTTAGGGTCTGTCTGAACCAAGGAGGTGGACTTTGTTCTCTTTGACAGTTGAACAATTAATAAAGTTCATTCAAGAGACATAGTTCAACAAGGCTGTCATCAGGTCTCTTATTTTTTAATTATTTTTTTTTGGGGGGGGGGTTCAAGTTTTATTCAAGATCATATACAAAATGTTTCCAGACCCAAGAGGGTTTAATCCTCCTCTTTGTCCTGGTTGATCTGGAAGTATTGTAATTCATAACTCTCCTTGCTGTTGGCCACCACCTGCAGCCAATCCCGAAGGTTGTTCTTCTTTAAGAATTTCTTTGTCAGGTACTTCAAATACCTTTTAGAAAATGGCACATCTGATGTCACAGTTCTCTTACTCTTGCTTCTCTCAATGGTTATGACTCCGCCAAAGAGGTTGCCAGCCTTTCTGTTCACTTTGATTCGTTCTTGTAAAAACTGCTCGAAATTAGCTGCATCCACAATCCCATCTCCACAGGATGGGTACAATCCAGGGTAAACTTAAGGACTTGCTTCTTTTTTTTGCCGCCCTTCATCACGGATTTCTTCATGGGCACCATGGGGATCGAGGAGCCAGAAAAATCATCAGGTCTCTTTTAGAACAAAGACCCCAATGACAGTTTTATTTGCCCTTAGGAAAAAGAGTAGGTGTTCTGGAGAGGGAAATTTAACACAATAGGAGGTGTTGGCTATATTAAAATGATGGTCTTAAGAGTACAAGCCTTTAAGTCACTCAAACCTAGGTCAAAGAGACATCAATTTCCATACCACTTGCTTCATAATAGGGACGATCAACCTTCCCCAAGACCAGCAGAGCAAAATACAAAGAGGCGGAATACACCCATCAGCTCAAACTCAGAATTTCTTTTATTGGCTAATTAGATCTTGGCCTGGATAAATCTCAGGAAGAGAGATTCCCCATACTGGTTGGTTCCTGGATGAGGAAGTAGAAAAGGGTTGAAAAACCTTGGTCCTAATAAATTAATTGTAAATGAGAGAAATAGTCATTTCTCACATCAGTTTCCCCACATGTAAAAGTGGAGATAATAATAGCACCTACCTACTACTATTGTTTCGAGGATAAAATGAGATAATAATTACAAAGTGCCTAGCAGTGCTGGGCATATAGTAGTAAATAAATGCTTGTTTTCTTCCATCCAACACATTCTACTAGAAATAGCTTTGTGGTCACAATGAATCTCAGGAAAAATATTGCTACAAATGTTGAGTTCTAGGGGTGCTGGGACCTCGAAATTCAAGCATAAGCGACACATCCTCCCTCTAATGAATTCGACCCAAGCCTTCTTTTAGCCAAAGACGAGGTTTATTACAACACAGGTTGGGGTGAGCGAGATTCCTAGTGAGTCTGCACTATTGGCCAGATTTTAAGAATATGAGCCTTTGTAATGAGAACCGGATCAAACTCTTAAGGAATCTGGACAATTTAATGGGGGAAAGATGCCTGGGAGGTAACAGAAGAGGACTCAGGTTAACAGAGAATTGGAGATTGGGGCTGAGTCAAAGCCACGATGCAAGGAACTGGGAAGGGTAGGTGCCCCAGGCAAAGGGTGGGAAGCAGATATAACAGACAATGAAGGGCTGGGCTAACAGAATTAGTGACTGGGGCAGTATCAAAAAAGCCACAAGGCAAGAACTAGGAAGGGCCAGATGTCCTAGGCCAACACCAGGGACCTGGGTCACATGGGAAAGTCCAGGGCCTTTTAGAGGTTCATCATTAGCACTCCATCACTGATACTTCTGTACCTTCTGGTCTAAGTGAGGCTCTACCAGACAGGGCATGCTGGAAGGTACACCAGACTTTTAGTCTAGAAAGAACTAAATCTACTGGTTGTGTAACCATGAACAAGTCACTTAGCCTTTCTGATCCTCAGTTTCCCCAGCTGTAAAATGTAATAATACTCATAGACCTAATTCCCAAGGTTGTGGGGAATGAGATCATCTCTAAAGCATGATGTTGTAAACCTTAAAATTCTATATAATGTTGATTGGCTATGATTATTGCCTGTTTGCTTAGCACCACTATTACATATGAAAGAGAAGGAAAATTCAACTTAGCCAGGATACAAGACCAGAGAGGCTTGGCTAGATAAGTCCATTAGGAAAAGACCTAGGGTAGAGATTTAACTAGAAATTCATTGA